TTGGGTCAAGGGGTCAAGGGAGGGTCAAGGGGTCTAGGGAGGGTCAAGAGGTCAAGGGTTGGGTCAAGGGATCAATGGTTGGGTCAAGAGGTCAAGGGAGGGTCAAGAGTTGAGTCAAGAGTTGAGTCAACAGTCGGGTCAAGAGATCAAGGGTTGGCTCGAGGGGTCAAGAGGTCAAGGCTCGAGGGGTCAAGGGGTCAAGGCTCGAGGGGTCAAGAGGTCAAGGCTCGCGGGGTCGGGGCCCCGCCCTCACCCTCGGGGTGCTTGTACTGGTGGGTGACGTCGAGGCGCTGGCCGGAGCCGGCGCCCAGGGTGCTGATGCGGCGCCCGATGGCCCCCTCCTCCACGTGCACCACGGCGAAGGCGCCGCCCGGCTGCCGCTGCCAGTACACCTTGTCGCTGTTCACCTGCGGCCACGCCCCCCTCTCATTAGCATAAATTTGCATGGCAGGGGCACAGGCCACGCCCCCCGGGAGCCCCGCCCACCTCGGCGAAGACGAAGGGCGTGTCGTACTTGAGGAAGACCTCGCCGTTCTTCACCGCCGTCACCGAGCACGGCCCGCAGCAGAACAGGCCTGGGGGAGCGGGGGGGACCAGTAGGGACCAGTATGGACCAGTATGGACCAGTAGGGACCAGTATAGACCAGTATAAATGAGTATAAACCAGTATAGATCAGTATAAACCGGTATAGACCAGTATAGACCAGTATAGACCAGTATGGACCAGTATAAACCGGTATAAATTAGTATAGACCAGTATAAACTGGTATAGACCAGTATGGACCGGTATAGACCAGTATAGACCAGTATGGACCAGTATGGACCAGTTTAACAAGTATGGACCAGTTTAACCAGTATAGACCAGTATAGACCAGTATAGACCAGTATAAACTGGTATAAATTAGGATAGACCAGTATAAACCAGGATAGACCAGTATAAACCAGTACAGACCAGTATACACCAGTATAGACCAGTATAAACCAGTATAGACCAGTATGGACCAGTATAGATCAGTATAGACCAGTATGGATCAGTATGGACCAGTATGGACCAGTATAGACCAGTATAGACCAGTATGGACCAGTATAGATCAGTATAAACTGGTATAGACCAGCATAAACCAGTATAAACCAGTATAGACTGGTATAGACCAGGATGGACCAGTATACACCAGTATAGACCAGTATAGATCAGTATAAACCAGTATAAACCAGTATGGACCAGTATAAATGAGTATAAACCAGTATAGACCAGTATAGACCAGTATAAACCAGTATGGACCAATATAAACTGGTATAAACCAGTGTAGATCAGTATAAACCGGTATAGACCAGTAGATATCAGTATGGACCAGTATGGACCAGTATAGACCAGTATAGACCAGTATGGACCAGTTTAACCAGTGTGGACCAGTTTAACCAGTATAGACCAGTATAAACCAGTATAGACCAGTATACACCACTATAGACTAGTATGGACCAGGATAGACCAGTATAAATGATTATAAACCAGTATAGACCAGTATAGACCAGTATAAATCAGTATGGACCAGTATGGACCAGTATAAACCAGTATAGACCAGTATAACCAGTATAGACCAGTATAAACTAGTATAAATTAGTATGGACCAGTATAAACCAGTCCAAACCAGTATAGACCAGTATAAACTAGTATACACTAGTATGGACCAGTATAAACCAGTATGGACCAGTATAAACCAGTATACACCAGTATAAAGCAGTATAAACCAGTATACACCAGTACGGACCAGTACGGACCAGTATGAGGCCATCACTCCCTGCTGGTTGATCCCCATGGCCTCCGCCCAGTAAAAACCAGTCTAAACCAGTATAGACCAGTCTAGACCAGTCTAAACCAGTCTAAACCAGTATGGACCAGTCTAAACCAGTCTAAACCAGTATGGA